TCATTGCTCGCTACTTGAAAATGGATCTGCGCGCTGGTCAAAAGGCGTTCATCAACTCCCAAGAGACCCAGAAGACGCTGCAAGCGCAGCTAGACCTTTGGCAAGCCGAACATGGCGACTTCTATGCCTCTGGCATTGAGCCAGCGTTCGATCCTCTCAAGGCCCGTGTCTACGACTCTTCGTGGAACTGGGCTCGTCAAGATGCCCTGAGCATGTACTACGACATTATCTTTGGAAGACTCAAGGTTGTTGATAGGGAGATTGTGAGCCGCTGCATCCGTATCATGAACCGGTCAAACCCTCTCCTTCTAGACTTCATGCAGTATCATATCGACAACTGTCCCACTGATAGGGGTGAAACGTATCAACTAGCAAAGGAGCTTGGCGAGCAACTTATTGAAAACTGCAAGGAGGTCCTTGACGCTGCTCCTGTCTACAAGGACGTCGCTGTTCCTACCGGACCTCAAACCACTGTCGATGCCCGAGGAAAGGTCGGTTACAAGGAAGTCCCTCGCGCCAGCGCCCGCAAACTAGAGCACTATGTCAAGCAGATGGCTGAAGGAGGTCCCATCTCGGAGTACAGCAACCGCGCCAAAGTGCAAGATGACCTACGCAGTGTCTATAAGTTGATCCGCAGGCAGCACCGCCTCTCCAAGTCTTCACAGCTACAGTTCAACGCACTCTATAAAGAGGTTATACGCGCCCTGAGCATGAATGAGAATCAGATCATTCCACAGGAGAACAGCAACGGAAAGAAGTCTGGCAGAAACAGTGTCAAGCGCAATGGTAGCCCTCGGTCCGGCAAGATTGAGACCATCCCATTCTTACACCTGAAGAAGAAGAACGAACATGGTTGGGATTATAACAAGAAGCTCACCGGTGTCTATCTCGACGTTCTGGAGTCAGCAGCTCGATCTGGTCTCACATTCCAGGGCAAGAATGTTCTCATGACTGGAGCTGGTGCCGGTTCTATCGGTGCCGAGGTGCTGCAGGGCCTGATTAGCGGTGGTGCGAAGGTGGTCGTCACGACGAGTCGATTCTCTCGTGAGGTCACTGAATATTATCAGGCCATGTACGCCCGCTATGGCGCTCGTGGCTCTCAACTTGTCGTTGTGCCCTTCAACCAAGGCAGCAAACAAGATGTCGAAGCACTCGTCGACTATATCTACGACACTAAGAAGGGCCTTGGCTGGGATCTGGATTTCGTGGTCCCATTTGCTGCCATTCCGGAAAACGGTCGGGAGATCGATTCGATCGACTCCAAGTCTGAGCTGGCCCACCGCATCATGCTCACGAACCTGCTCCGACTGCTTGGTAGCATTAAGACACAGAAACAAGCCAATGGCTTTGAAACCCGCCCAGCTCAAGTCATTCTTCCCTTGTCTCCCAATCACGGCACTTTCGGAAATGATGGACTGTACTCGGAGTCGAAGCTGGCTCTGGAGACTCTTTTCAATCGCTGGTACTCGGAGAATTGGAGCAACTACTTGACCATCTGCGGTGCTGTCATTGGCTGGACGCGCGGTACAGGGTTGATGAGCGGTAACAACATGGTTGCTGAAGGTGTTGAAAAGCTCGGTGTCCGTACCTTCTCCCAGCAAGAGATGGCCTTCAACCTTCTTGGTCTTATGGCACCCGCTATTGTCAACTTATGCCAGCTTGATCCTGTCTGGGCTGATCTCAACGGCGGTCTTCAGTTCATCCCCGATCTTAAGGACCTCATGACGAGGCTCCGCACTGACATCATGGAGACTAGTGATGTCCGCCAAGCAGTTATCAAGGAAACCGCGATCGAGAATAAGGTTGTCAACGGAGAAGACAGTGAGGTCCTTTACAAAAGAGTGGTCGCTGAGCCCCGTGCCAATATCAAATTCCAGTTTCCACAACTCCCTGACTGGGAGAAGGATGTTCAGCCCCTTAATGAAAATCTCAAAGGTATGGTTAACCTTGACAAGGTGGTTGTTGTCACCGGATTTTCAGAGGTCGGCCCCTGGGGTAACTCTCGTACCCGTTGGGAGATGGAGGCGTACGGCAAGTTTTCCCTTGAAGGTTGCGTCGAGATGGCTTGGATCATGGGTTTAATCAAGCACCATAATGGTCCCCTCAAGGGCAAAGCCTATTCTGGGTGGGTGGACGCGAAGACTGGGGAGCCTGTGGACGACAAGGACGTCAAGCCCAAATATGAGAAGCACATTCTGGAGCATTCGGGCATTCGACTGATTGAGCCTGAGCTGTTCAAAGGATATGATCCCAAGAAGAAGCAACTTCTCCAAGAAATTGTTATCCAGGAAGATCTCGACCCCTTCGAGGCATCTAAGGAAACTGCTGAAGAGTTCAAGCGCGAGCATGGTGACAAAGTTGAAATCTTCGAACTGCCCGAATCGGGAGAGTACACTGTGCGCCTCAAGAAGGGGGCTACATTGCTTATTCCCAAGGCTCTCCAGTTCGATCGTCTCGTTGCTGGCCAGATTCCCACTGGCTGGGACGCCAAGCGCTACGGTATCCCAGACGACATCATCGAGCAGGTTGATCCAGTCACATTGTTTGTTCTTGTCTGTACTGCGGAAGCAATGCTCTCTGCTGGTGTCACCGACCCTTACGAATTTTACAAGTATGTTCACCTGTCTGAGGTCGGTAACTGCATCGGTTCCGGTATTGGAGGCACCCACGCCTTGCGAGGCATGTACAAAGACCGCTACTTGGACAAGCCCCTCCAAAAGGATATCCTGCAGGAATCCTTCATCAATACTATGAGCGCTTGGGTCAATATGCTTCTGCTGTCCTCTACCGGTCCGATCAAGACCCCTGTTGGTGCCTGTGCCACGGCAGTTGAATCTGTCGATATCGGTTATGAGACGATTGTGGAAGGCAAAGCTCGCGTTTGCTTTGTTGGTGGATTTGACGACTTCCAGGAAGAAGGGTCGTATGAGTTCGCAAACATGAAGGCCACAAGCAATGCGGAGGATGAATTTGCCCACGGCCGCACCCCTCAGGAGATGTCGCGCCCCACTACCACCACGCGTGCGGGTTTCATGGAGTCACAGGGTTGTGGTATGCAACTCATTATGAGCGCCCAGCTGGCTTTGGACATGGGTGTGCCCATCTACGGTATTATTGCCTTGACAACAACCGCTACGGACAAGATCGGACGATCTGTCCCCGCCCCCGGCCAGGGTGTTCTCACCACCGCACGGGAGAACCCTGGCAAGTTCCCGTCACCGTTGTTGGATATCAAATACCGTCAGCGCCAGCTTGACCTGCGTAAGAAGCAAATCAAGGAGTGGCAAGAATCAGAGCTGCTTTACCTTCAGGAGGAGGTGGAGGCTATGAAGTCCCAGAGCTCTGAGCCATTCGACGAGTCGGACTATCTGCAAGAGCGGGCTCGGCACATTGAGCGAGAAGCTGTCCGACAGGAGAAGGATGCCCAGTTTAGTCTTGGCAACAACTTCTGGAAGCAAGACCCCCGTATCGCTCCTCTCCGCGGTGCCCTTGCTACCTGGGGCCTTACTGTCGACGACATTGGTGTTGCATCCTTCCACGGTACCTCTACCGTGGCCAACGACAAAAACGAATCTGATGTCATTTGCCAGCAGATGAAGCATTTGGGACGCAAGAAGGGCAATGCGCTTCTGGGTATCTTCCAGAAGTATCTTACCGGACATCCCAAGGGCGCTGCTGGTGCTTGGATGTTCAACGGCTGCTTGCAGGTTCTTGACAGTGGCTTGGTCCCAGGGAACCGTAATGCTGATAATGTGGACAAGGTCATGGAGAAGTTCGATTACATCGTTTATCCCAGCCGTAGCATCCAGACTGATGGTATCAACGCTTTCTCAGTCACATCGTTCGGTTTCGGTCAGAAGGGTGCCCAGGTCATTGGAATCCACCCCAAGTACCTGTACGCAACTCTGGACCGGGCACAGTTCCAGACTTACAAGGCCAAGGTTGAGGCCAGACAAAAGAAGGCTTACCGTTACTTCCACAACGGTCTCATTAATAACAGCATCTTCGTCGCCAAAGACAAAGCCCCCTATGAAGATTCTCAACAGAGCAAGATCTTCCTCAACCCCGATTACCGCGTCGCGGTTGACAAGAAAACATCGGAACTCAAGTTCCCTGCAGTCCCTCCGAAGGCTAGTGACAAGGGAGCTGAGAGTACGAGATCAATGATTGAGTCTCTTGCGAAAGCTAACGCCGCCGAGGACTCGAAGGTCGGTGTCGACGTTGAGAACATTGAGGGGTTTAACATCGAAAATGAAACCTTCATCGAGCGAAACTTCACTGCTAGCGAGCGGGAGTATTGCCTGAAGGCACCGTCTCCCCGCGCATCGTTTGCTGGTCGGTGGAGTGCCAAAGAGGCGGTTTTCAAGTCCCTGGGCGTTAGCAGCAAGGGCGCGGGCTCTCCGCTGAAGGACATTGAGATCATCACTGATTCAACTGGTGCGCCTGCCGTTCAAGTAAGTTACCACTCCTAACTTGTCATTCTCGCGCCCGACGCTAATATGTTGCTAGCTTCATGGTGTTGCTGCTGAAGCTGCCGAGCAGGCTGGTGTCAAGCAAGTCAATGTTAGCATCAGCCACAGTGATACGCAGGCTGTCGCGGTTGCCGTGTCGAAATTCTAATCTTTTGGCGAGCGAATAAGCTGCCTTGATTTGATGGGAGTGTATTGATCATTTTCATGTTTCTTGACCACATATTCACACAGATAGATTAATCCGGGCCCGGCTTCCATCGGGTGAATCAGCCGGATCTTCCTTTTAAGTCTATTGCCTTCTTCATCGTTGGGCTATATCTCGAGCAACAGTAGCACATACAAAATTTCCCGCTCCTGATACTCGCAAGTGAATACTCAATCCTATTCGGTTGACTCACATTTGTATTCGTCAAGATCACTTAGGTGTCAAGTCGAAGGACTGATACATGGAATGGTATAGCACCTGACACGACTTGGTAAAGCAAGGAAGGCAGTTTACTTAGAGCCTACAGTTTACGAAAATGCGAGACAGTCAATTAGGTCTATGCGTAGCGTCCCCTTTGAAAGATAAACCTAATCCATGCTGCAGATGATGTTCGAGGTGAAGGAGTTCACTCCATATAACGACGTATTGCCTAATTTAATGACCATGCGAGAAGACGGGACCAGAATCAACGGCGTTACCTACCCTCTACCAGATGCTCTGCTCAAGGGACCCCAGTTTTCCCGAGGGTTAAGCTGATATCGAACAAGACGCTTTCTCGTTGAGAGCTCCTTGCCTAAAGCCTCATCAAAAACCACTTCCAAAGTGCTAGGATGAAGTCTAGCTGTGGCTTTGACCCGGGCCAGTGGGCTTTGACCAGAAGTAGACGCTGTGGAATCGCGATCGCCATTGCTCTGTGTATCGCGTACCGATTTAGTCTCTGACGCTCGATGGGCACCGGTCCGTGTCAAAGCAGCTTCAAGCCTGCTAACTACATCCGTAATATTGTGCTCTTGGTCCATTACCATCTGAAGCTCCTTCTTCAATGAATTTAGCAGTTGCTGATCCTTGTCACCGTCTGCGGGAATTTTTCGGCATTTCGACATGATCACAGCGCCAGGACTTCCGGGTCTGAGAGCGCCCTCCTTGACAGGGGACTTCTGTCTGACCCATTCCCGCATAATCTCCCAAATCACATCCCAAGGGGCATCAGTCCGAATTGTGTTTGGTTTCGCATGGGTGCGAGTCGCTCGATAGCCCAAATGTCGAAGTGCCCCGCGCATCGCATCGATGGAAATGGTAGCAGTACGAAGAACTTTCGATATCGCACTCAAGCTAAAATAGAATGGACTTTTGTCACTTAAGGCGGGGTCAACCCGTGGAATAATGGCAGCAGTTCCGGCCCCTACCGACGGTGCATCGGTAGACTTCTGTGAGTTGTTGGCGTCGCCAATGTCGAGGTTCAAATCTTCTTCGAATGCCGTTGTTAGCATTCCTTCAATTCTGTCGACAGTTTGATAAACATCTCGGTCTAGCTTGGGAAGCATATCAAGGATATTCTGAATGAAATGTGGGTTGTGAAGTGGACCGGCCCACATTGGGCCCCCTACATGCATCTTCGAACCGCAATGTTCACAACGGGAGTCTGAAGTTGGACCCTGAGCAAAACCAAAATGAGGAAAAGGCTTTCCTTTTTTGTCAAGCTTCTGCTTGGTCTGCGTCAAAGGCTGGGTTGACCATGCCCCGCAGCCCTCGTCGCAATTGAACACCGTCATCATATTGCCAGAAACAAACTTGACCTGGGCAGGGGAGCGATGAACCCGGACAAAAACTCGTGCATAGAAATCGATTGAGAGAGATAATAGGGGCTCGATTGCAAGTCCATACTTGGCGGCAGACATTGCAATTGAATGCAGGATCAAGCGCAGTCCCCCTTCGTGGCAATGTGGTCCTTTGACCGGAACGCCACCATACAAGGCGAAAGCCTTCTCAGGATACCCATGCGAAGCCCACACTCCTGCATCAGTACAAGTCACACAAAGAAGGCCTCCATCTTTTACTGCCTGGACCGCAGCATCCAGGAAAGGTGAAGCAGTGCCGTATGGATCCAAATCAATAACATCGAATTTGCCGGAATGGGTTACCGCGTCCTGACATTTATCTTGCTCCAAAAGGCTGTACATGAAGACGCGTGCATCTCCTAAATTAGGGCGGATACGCTTCTCGAGTTTGTTGTATTCGACATTCGTCTTCATTGATCGAATAGCAGACTCTGAAAGGTCGTTTGCAACGACGTAAGAAGCAAATGGGATCTCCAAGGCATAACGTAGCGCACGCAAGCCTGTAGCAGAAAGAGCATCTAGGATTGTGAATGACGGCGCCATAATCTCTTCTGAAGGCAAATCGGGAATTGCTGCAGAGATGGGCTCAATTGTCTGTGCACTTTGGTCCTCTGGCTGGGTGGCTTCGTCCTCTCGCTTGCGCTTCTTACTCTTTGTCTCACCACTTTCTGCTAGCCTCTGTCTTCGTTTTTCCGCCTTCTGTTTCTTCACGGCCACGACATGCTCTCCAAAGGCCCGGATTGCGAGAACGCTAAGGTCTCGATTGAACTGCTGAATCGGGTTGTAGAAAACGGATTGAGATTCATCGTCAGCCTTGAGATCCTTCCTCGTGGCCTTGGAGGCAGCGTCTTGAGAGGGAGGGTTCAAAATGTACGCCTTTCCTTCTTTTACGGCTCTAAATTCCGTGCCAGCGTACTGAATCAATTGCCCCGAGGTGTCCATGGCGCGAACCTCAATATGGAATTGGTGCGGATGAATTTGCCGAACGGGGGCTGGCGTAATCACCGTTGGGCGCAGAAGAGAGATTGACAGAACAGTAGGAACTGAAGCTTGAGAAAAACAATCGACGGGTCTAAAACGAGCAAGGACAAAACCAAACAGGCTCATTGACTGACTTGGACGTCACAGAGAACAAGTAAAGTAGAGAGAGAATGGAAATTCTGGGGGAAGTGAATTTTTCTTTTTTTCCCCGGGGAGAGTTTGAATGGTATGTACAAGCTCCCGGCGCGGCGCGGGAAAATAGAAAGAGGCGTGCGGCGGTCCACTCTTAAACCATCGGGATATCCAGCAACCTGAGCCCGCTTAAAGAAAGTCTATGTTAGACAGTGTTCATGTGAGGCACTAGTCTACCGTCGTCGTCGTCGTCGTCGTCGTCGTCATTGTCATCATCATTATTATTGAAACCGCGCCTATCCGGGTTGCATTATGTCCGAAGACATCTAATATATCATACACAGAACCCACGAACGGGCACGGCTCATATCCAGGGTCCGATAATGGGAACTTGATTGTAGATATCGTTCCATCCACTGGCTTCCCACCCAGAGCCCTGACCGGCACGGCCAATGACTCCCAGAGCGCCAGCCAGCCAGATAGATGCCCCCACTGCAGCAATCGTATTTACAGTCCACCACATTCTCTTTTGTCTGCGGCATCGTTGCTCACTTCCAGTATAGCCAAGGTACCCTTCGAGAGACCCCTTTTTGGAATTTTGCTGCCTCCGGAGGGTCGTAACCTTCCAGCCCATCCACGAAGCCCACCCACCAACAAAATGCCATACTCCAGCAGCGACAAAAACCAGATAATAAATGTTCCAGAAAACCGGAGACCGCGCAATGCCGTGAGCCACATAGCCAAGCCCCACTCCCGAGCTTCCCCCATCGACCAGGATCGGACTAATTCGATTGACGAGGACGTGCACACCAAGTAATGGAATGAGCGAATACCCTAAGCGTGCCTGTAGGCTCATCCGTGGCCAGAACGTGAGCGCATAACGCTGGGACCGGGTTTCTGCGCCATAGAGTCGGGCCCGCCGTGAGGAGCGGATATTGCGCAGAGCGATGCCGGAAAGGACATGAACCAAAACCGGCACAGTCAGAACAACATGTTCAAGTGACGGGGATTGATAGAGGGGCCTGGTGAGCAACAGATAGTTTTCGCTTGCGCTTACGGAGCGGGTCGCGAGAGGAAGTATTGAGGTATTGGCAAGGTGCAGAGCAAGAAATAAGCTGGGCGGATACGTCGAGTATCGCTGAAATGCAGATACTAATGATATTCAGAAAGCAAGGCATTAGTCCACGCAGAGTCAATCGCGGCGGAAGGCTAAGATGAAGAGGCAACGGAGGAGTCGTACACCATGAATCCCAGCTATGCCCGCGGAGACCTAAACCGAGAGACGGCGGTGCGCTTATATTCTGGCTCAATGAATCTTGAGACAGTTTTAGCGGCTCCGGGGAATATTCGCCGCGCTCAAGGTCTGGAAACTCATCCTCCACCGGAGAAGGGTCGATTTCTTGCATGGAAGTGAGTGAGCGGGTGTCGATGTCCTCCGGCTTGTGCGAGAGGCCGTCTGGGGCGGAAGCCATGGCGACAGGAGCACCAGGATAAGTTGAGTATGTGTGGCAAGACAAAAAAGGGAGATATCAATTTATTCAACACATCATGTCGTAGGACTAAACGTGGGCGATCTTCATAACCAGTGACAAGGTTCAAGAACCTTAAGGAGAGGGAAAACAGACGTTGAAATGATGGTTGTACTAGTAGTACATGCATAATTTGAAGCACGATCATTGGCTTGTAACTTACGCGTACCGACTGGTGACGGGTATTTTTTTGCCCAACATGAGCACGACACAGGATGTGCAGGTATCGTCCGCGGACGTCGGTCCGTATTTCCTACTAATACGTACTTTAGCTGATTGGAACAATGGTAATTCGAACTCATGCATACATTTTACAGAAATCGAGTTCCGACATACAAGTACTTCCATACTAGCACTACCATTCCAACAGTGCTCACAGACCTCAAGATAGGCTTGGCAGACTTTCCACTTGGTTGCAGTTGCCAGTGATCCAGAGTATAGTGCTGTTACGCTATCATCATCTTGTTCCAAGATGGCGCCTGCAAGTGCCCGCGACATCCTCTCTCTCCTCACGGGTCTTGATCCGAGGAGCGATCCTTGAGCAATCGAAGACAGGGCTTTTTTTTTCTGACAGAACATTCCTTCAATAGCGCGGCTTCACCAATCCTACTCCCAAGGTACGAGCCTCCGCCTATCAATACCTTGCCCACCACTTCGGCTGCTGTTGACATCGTCTCCTACTTTCTTCTCACCAGACCGAATCGGCGCGCTCCGCCTTGAACTCTTTCACCTGCACACTGTGCAACAAATCCTACTCCCGCCACCCCGAATATGAAGCCCATATATCATCATATGATCATCAACACCGCAAGCGCCTGCAGGATCTCAAACAGCTTTCCCGGGATCCGAACGCTGCGGAGAAAGCAAGACGAGCAGAGCGGAAAGCTGATGCGGAAGCCGGCCTAAGGGTACTAGACACCCACAAAAGTAGTCCCTCAACAACCGGAATAGCTAGCGGAAACGGCCTCAACTCTGAGGGCGGGGGAGGCTTCAAGAAAGGAGGTTTCAAAAGCTCCTTCACGGCAGTAAAAGGACCCGTCGCTCCAGGTGCGCCTACCAAGAAGAACGTTCTAGGAGGGGATGACGATGATCATGAAGACTCCACTAAGCCGGAATCCGCATATTCGGACAATCACACTCGGAAAATGACAGCAAAACGCCACAGTCCCCAAGACAGACAAGAGGAAAGCGATACTGAATGCGAAGTTGCCGATGCGGTTTATTATAATCCTCATCACCCTACAGGTTGCTACCACGGATGTGCAGGGAGTAGGACGGACAATCGAGCTGAAATAGAAAATGTTTGAAAAATGCAATGCTTCGACCTTTACGAGGCATACGGTTTAGGTGGTATTTGGTTACTCTTATATGTCCCCTGTCCCTCCACTTATGGGTGTGGTTTAGGCGGTCTTTCCTTTCCACCAAACTGTGAATATCAACGTGTATAGGGTATGGTATTTTCACCTACACGGTACATTTTGGTGATTGGGCAACTACAGAAAGAGTTTTGAAGCACTAGCGCATGAAGAGATCTATATGAACTCAGTCATCATAAGTTGTTGTCTAAAAATGCAAATTGGAATTGGTTCTGTTGTATAGTCGTACAAAATTCAGAGCAGATGGGAAGGCAGGGCGAGATGGAATATTGGGAGTGATTGGCAACAATCACGAGGTGCTAGGCACACGAGGCTTTATTATCTGGGGTTGTTCTTCAACAGCGCTTGTTCTTCACGAAGACCGGACTATCTTACAAGCGCAGCAGCTTGGCGGCCTGGTTAACAATGGTGTCTTCCTGGGGGAAGCTCATCTGCTCCAAGCCAACGGCGTAAGGAGTAGGGACCTCAGCACCAGTGACACGGACAGCGGGAGCAGTCAAGTAATCGAAGCCATACTCCATAGAGAGAGCAAGGATCTCAGAAGCGACACCGAACATGGGGAAACCGGACTCAACACACATGATACGGCCGGTCTTCTTGAGGGACTGAATGATAGTCTCCACGTCAAGAGGCTTGACAGAACGAAGGTTGATGACTTCGGCCTCCACACCGTACTTCTGCTTGAGTTGGGCAGCGGCGTTGAGCGACTGACCGACACAGCGGGAGAGAGAAACAATGGTGAGGTCCTTGCCGGGGCGTTCGATCTTGGCCTTGCCAATGGGAAGAACAAAGTCACTCTTCTGGGCGGCCTCACTCATGGGGAAGGCTTGACCGTACAGAAGCCTGTCGACCTCTGTCAGTACTGACAAAACTTGGTGGGATGGTTGTTAATGGATGACCTACTCGTTTTCGAGAACAACAACGGGATTGGGGTCACGAATGGCAGCCTTCAGCAGACCCTTGGCATCTTCGGCGCTCCAGGGAGAAACAACCTTCAAACCAGGGATGCTACCGTACCATGCGGAATAATCCTGAGAGTGCTGAGCAGCGACACCGGCGGCAAATCCATTAGGCCCGCGGAAAGTGATGTTGCAAGGTTGAATTCCTCCGGACATATAATGCGTCTTGGCGGCGGAGTTGATGATCTGATCAATGGATTGCATGGCAAAGTTGAAGGTCATGAACTCGCACTAGAAAGGAAAAAGAGGTAAGTTAGTTAGATACGCGCGTCACACGGTTTGCTCGCCTTTAGCTGTCCATTGATGAAGACTCACGATGGGATGCAGGCCGGCAAGAGCAGCGCCGACAGCGAGACCAGTGAAGCCAGCCTCCGTAATCGGGGTGTCGATAACTCTCTTCGGACCAAAGCGGTCCAGCAGACCTCTCGTCACCTTGTATCTGTAACATTTGAGCCAGGTCAGACTGGGAACCTTCGGGCAAGATTGATGAGAAAGGGGTTCACGCACGCTCCGTTGTACTGCGCGACTTCCTCGCCCATAACGAAAGTTTTCTCATTGCCCTCAAGCTCCTCCGCGAGCGCCTCGTTCAGAGCGTCACGAACTGTGACCTCCTTGGTACCATTTTCGGTGGCGTAACCTCGGAAGCGCAGGACGGAAGGTATGCAGGTAGTTTGCGAGAAAGCCGGGCGAAGAGGAGTTGAGGGAAGGCGCGAGGGAAGCAGACGAGCTGCTGGGCGGAAAAGTCGGGGAGCAGCCATGGCCGAACTGGAGAGTTGGGTTAGGAGATTGAGAAAAGTGATCAATGGTCTAAGAGAAGCGAGAGAAGGAGTACAGACTAGAAGAAACAATCGGACAGCACCTGGAAGAGCCTCGTAACTTATCAAACACGGGAATCTGGACGTTCAATGAGAGATGTGGTTTTTGGTGAGAGCTTCGAGAAAGACTGTTGGGCCCGGGTCTGGCTGACTAAGTTAATATTCTCACCGGCGCCTTCTTCCGTTCCGTGGAATCTCCGCGTGACTGCCGATAAGGGAACCATCGGCGATAACCTTGAAGCCTGGAGGCTTTCCCGGAGTATTGACTCTTCGGAGTTGTTAGTAGTATATTGGCAGAGTTGAGTACAGTACATACAATAGCTAATTACTACACCGACATACGACGGGGTTCAACAGAGTATTCGTATCTTTCGCTCTCATCACTCACATACACACACTACCTCCGTTATCCTCACTATCCTCACCTCATCCGGGTGAAATCATTATGACCCATACTTCCTTTGCAGCAGCTGTAGTGCTCTTGCTGTCGTCCTCTTCCTTTACCTCGATCGTCTCCGCAGGACAGCCCTCTGCTCCGGACCCTATTGCTGCCCCATTGCGCGACCTGGAATGGGGCCAACTCAACTTTCTACATACTACAGACACCCACGGCTGGCTGGCTGGACACTTACAAGAGTATGAAACTCGGATGTCTTCTAAGAAGCTTTACCAGATGGGTTCTTGCTGATTGAGTATCTGTGTGCTAGACCCTCTTATGCCGCGGACTGGGGGGACTACATCTCTTTTGCCGCCCGCATGCGCGACAAAGCCCAACAGGATGGCTCAGATCTCTTGGTGATCGATACAGGCGATCGAGTCGAGGGTAATGGTCTGTATGATTCTTCCGAGCCAAAGGGTGTCTATCTCTCCGGGATCTTGCGAGAACAACACATAGACCTTCTGTCATCAGGCAACCATGAGCTGTACAATCGGACGACGTCCCAGGCAGAGTTCTTCACCACTATTCCCAACTTCCGTGGAAATTACCTAGCATCGAATATCGATATCCTACATCCAGCACTCAACGAATTCGTCCCTTTGGCGCCTCGCTTCAAGAAGTTCACCACGCAGAACCAAGGGATCCGCATCATCGCCTTCGGCTTTCTGTTTAATTTTATGAAGAATGACAACAACACTATCGTTCGGTCTGTAGAGCAGACAATCAAAGAAAGCTGGTTTCAAGAAGCCATTCGAGACAAAGATGTGGACCTTTTCCTCGTTATTGGTCATGTCCCTGTGCGCTCCGTTGAATATGATGCTGTGTACCGGGAGATCCGCGCTATCCGGTGGGATACACCTATACAGTTCTTCGGAGGGCATTACCACATTCGGGATTATGTGCGGTACGACTCCAATGCCTACGGACTGGCGAGTGGTCGCTTCATGGAAACTATTGGCTTTTTGTCAATCGACGGGCTGTCCACTAGCAAACACCACATAAGGCCCGCCCTGGCAGCGCCTAAGTTTAGTCGGAAGTATATCGATAACAATTTGTTCTCATTCTACCACCACACCGGCCTGGACGAGGGCACATTTCACACGGAGCATGGCCGGAATGTGTCCTTACTTATACAACAATCCAGAAGCGCTCTTAAGTTGGACAAAATCCACGGTTGTGCTCCGAGAGATCTCTGGATGTCACGCGTCAAGTACCCTCACGAGAACAATATATATACATGGCTAGAGGAAGAAGTGCTCCCCGTCTCTTTGAAAGATGACTCACGTATTGAAAAGCCGGCACTTGCTATTATCAATACGGGAGCTATTCGCTTTGATATTTTCAGAGGTCCTTTCACTCAGGATACAACCTATATTATCTCTCCTTTTTCTAGTGGTTTCCGTTACGTCAAAGATGTCCCTTACCACAAAGCGAAGTTCGTGGTCGAGGTACTCAACAAACAGCCTCAAATATTGACTGAGCAGCGCCAGCATGTAG